AAACGCCCAGTGAAGCCGTTAAATAGCACAGGTATAATTCACAATCTTGCGGAGGGTTTACAGACCCCTGTTTTCCCGCAAGGTCGTCGAGATGTCGGCATGCTTTACATGTTATTGGCCGGCGATCTTTGTACCATATGTACCGAGAGGGCGGACGGGCGGGCGGGCGGGCGTAGGGGTTTATAGAGGCGGTGGGGAGGAAGAAAGATCTTGTTACAATTTTAAAAGTATCATACCGGGTTCTCAACCTCTTTACTAAGTCTTGTTATGAAAGGACTGGACGAGGCAAGGCTCAATACTTGCTCTTTTACACAGCTTGGGTCAGGTTCAAAGATCTGCTTTACCGCGTATGGCCTCTTGGTGCGACGCAGGGGCGGATCTAGGGGGAGGGTGCAGGGGTGCACCCCCCGAGATGACCTGGGTTTTCTAATGCGAAAAAAAAAAAAAAGAACTATGTGGTTTGTTGGTGTTGAAGTAGAGCAAGAGACGAGTGCACCCCCTCCTAAAAAAAATCCTGGATCCGCCCCTGCGACGGTCCTCACAAAGACGAACCTATAAAAAATTGACAGATATTTTGGAATAAGACACGGCTTTCAGATGGAGCGGTTGATAGGCGCAGTCTTACCGGCCTTTTTTAATTCAATCCCGGTGAAGTTCGAAAGAACTTCATGTTACTACCTTACTCGAAAATTATTCGCAGATATCATCCACTTGTTGGAGAAAGAAGGAATTACTTAGTCTATATCATATACACCTTTGATCCCTAATTAAATTAAAAAATAGTTATTAAAAGAGCGTACATTTAACAAAACAAAAGAAAGAAAACAAAGCCTTTCAACTTCTTTTACCCAGTTTTGCAATAAATAAACAGATCATTAATTAATTAGTTAATCAACTAATTAATGAATCGCTATTTCTGACGATGAGATCCTCGCCACTGTAGCGCGGTGATCCGCCTTAATTACTCCAAATTTTGTGCAAAATTAATGTGATATTTTACGAACTGTTTGTGATTACTGTTTAATCCTTCTGACAGTCCTTTACCTTCTCAAAGGCTCCCTCTCCAATGATCTTATGTTTTTAAGGTTTTTCAGACAGATCGACCTTCTTTGTTTCTTTGTCTTGACATTGCGTGAGTTTCTTTGCTCCTCTGATCTTGTGAGTTTTAAGGGGCACTAGTGAATCAAGATGGATAAAATAAGTTATCAGACTATGAAATCAAGTCTTGAACACGACTTGGCGGTTTTCTGTGTATAACTTGAAGGTATGTAGTTTTGTAAATGAAACTTCAAGAGAGGATACAATATAAATGATATGCTTTCAAACACCGTGCTAGTGACTTAATACTTTCAAAACTCCTTCTCGCTATTAGACTTTTCTACTCGAGTCTATCGCACAAATACAAATACATTTTTAGTTATGACTGAGTTCGATATAAACACTATACATAGTGTGTTAAAACGCGCTGGCCTTTAGCCTTTTGCTAGTTTAAAGAGTTTTTGAGCTAATGCAGTAGAGATTTCTATAACAGCTTAAAAAGGCCTTGAAAATCTTTTAGCTGACGATACCTCTGACGATAAAAATAGATACAACATAATTAGCTACAGATTATACTTCATGTAAAATAGCTTAAACTTTCCAATTCAAAATTTATTGGACTAAAAATGTCTTGTAATCTCACTGATAAAGCATGGATACTATTATCCATGGATAAAGTAGAAACCCTGGAAAATTCAATTCGGTTATGAGTCATTTGCTTGCGTGAGGCAGCACGCGCACTCCTGTTTCACGCTTCACGCCCTAGCCACTAGCCACCCTCGTCCCCAGGCCAGTTCGCGCTAACCAAGCAAAACGAGGAGGCTTGGAGCGGAGCGCGACTTTAGAATGACAGATGACGTCACAAACGAAATTAACGAGGACGACCGGGACTGAGGCTGCGTCTCAGCTGCTGACCAAAGTGAAGGCGTAGCACCAAGATTGTTACAAACAGTTGCCATGACGTTTTTTTGTTTTCGCAAACAAACAACTTACACCAATAAGTAAAAACTTAATATTTTACCGAAAGTTACACGATCTTTCTGACAAACAAGTTTCAAAATACTACTTCATGAATAGTTCTCCTTCTTCTGTTTAAACTTTTTGGTAGCTTGTCCTCGTTACATTATCCCTTTATTGAAACTGATCAAAAGGCGTCTCATCTCACTGGGCCTTGAAACTGCTGTTAACTCTAGCCGCGCAAAAAGAAATTCTTTGTGTTCAAAAGTAAAGCGACAGATTACTTTCTTACCTTTTTTCACTACATTTTCCTGCAAAATACTGAAAAACGCTTTGTAACACATAATAGGTAAAAACAAACTGCCCTATAACTGGACCCTTCATCGCTGATCTGTACGTAGCATTCAACGAAAGATCTGCATATACTGAAAGATCCAACTCTGTTCTCTGAAATGGCGTCATAATAGACATTTACCGCGCGCGAGCAAAAGAACTTCTGTTCCAAAGCTGACGAACAGTAACCGTTTACTTTATTTTGTGAGCGTATTACGTAAGGTACGTTTTTAATTGGGCAGTGGGCTAAATCTGTTTTTCCCGAAAAACTCCCTCTCCTTTTCCTCTGTCCCGCATTCTCACTCAGGGTCGGACGGAGAATCTTGTGATAGAGGGCCGGGGCCTAGAGATATAGTATACAGTGGCAATATGGGCGCGATAGCGCTCATCGGGACTGCGAACGGCGCCCTTTTCTAGGGAGTTTCGGGCGCATGCTACTCCGGGAAAATTTTTGAGATTGAAGTTCTCTAATATGCAACCTAGTGCATTCTGAACGCTTAGAATTAGCAAATGCCTGGATTCCATATTGAACATCCGACACGCGTTTACAAAAGAAAAAAATTCCCGGACAAAAAAGGGGCCCGGCCCCCCTGGGTCCACCCCTAAATCCGCCCTTGTCACTGAAAAAATGTACAGGTCTTATGCACAGCAGAGGCGAGGTGAGGTACGGCAGTCCCAATCATGTAAGGCTGCCTGGGAAAAAAGGGCAGTGCTGCTCTTAAGTCAGTGCGTCTTGTTTTCAGCAGCCTCTGAGCACCCTGCCGCTGGGGACGTTTCTTTATGAACACGACCGCTTGCTGAACGTCCTAAGCGGAGGGGAGGGATCAGAGGGCGGCTGTTTTCGGTCACGCTTGCTTGCCTCTTGCCTGCGGGAAGTTTTTGATTGAGTCATTTCGGATTTTTAGTCATCTCCTTTGATAGCAGACACTGTAGGGACGCAGGGTTGAGATAACCCAGGGTTAGTACAAAATATGCGGGAATTCAATTATGAAAGCTTAAATTCAAATTCAGTTTAATTCTTCTTGACTACAAAATTGATAATTGGATGATCTAAAAGTAAAGAGAAATTTATCCAAGAAAATGCTTTTAAACAAAAGAGAGAGAAACCCGGGTTAAAATGTAACGCTGGGTTAGCGCTAGTCGGCTTTCCATCAATTGGTTGCGATTTAGCTGCTGTCCATATTATAGGGGTGTCCACGACGCTAGAGTTGACGGTACTTGCTCGTGATGATTTTAAACGAGTGCCTGTGAACAGGCTAGAGCAGATTAATGCACTTAAACCATGAACAAAGCACAGTTGACTCGCTTCTTTTTGTACAAGGCTCCGGATAAAACACGGAACGTTTGCAACCAATCCTTTAAAAGGGTAAAATAATTTCTGCAGAATCTATGGTTACATCAACAAAGCGAAATCCATTTATATAGTCGTAACTCCAAGAACATGACCACTTTATTTACAAAAATAAATTTCATTGTGAAAAGTGGAGTGTTAGAGTTCTTCAATCTTGCTTAAAACGATGTGATAAGCAACTCGAATTTTGCCCAGTGCGTTATGTTGCAGACTTGAAATAATCAATTTTGGACAATAATCTATTTTTCAGAAAGGAAATACGTGCGAACTACTACGATAAAAAAAGGAAAATGAGATCTAAACTGGGTTTACTAACAAGATGTGTAGTTTCATTAACAAGCAAGGGTAAACTGACCACCTGGCTAACGTAACTAGTACATCCAGCTTCCACTTGCTCGCAAGTAACGTAAAAGAAAATGCTACATTAACTGACATGTTTACTTTAACACCAAGTTAAGGGAGATGACATTGCTCTCTGACTTTTAAATACATGGACAAAATCCTGTGATGTTACTATTTAATTATGAAACCTCTTTGGCAGAACGCTTGCAAATTCCTTTTAAAAGAAATGGGATTTTTTGCTACAATTTGAACTTTGCCCACTGTTGGGAGTGAAGGGTAACTTAGCTCTCTGCCTAAGATGATCACTCGCGTAAAAAGAAATAGTCTCTGCTCACAAGGGTAGCTTACTAACAGGAAAACCAAACTATATGTAACTAGTGCCATACTGAAAATTCACGTTTTCTCAATGGATATTATAAACCTGCCGAGAAAAGTCCCTGACTGGATAGTCGCTCTGCTTATAAGGGATGATCTGACTTAGGAGGGAAATCTGACTGACTGGGGTACCTGCCTAACCTACTTGGACACTGTGTCTGTATGTGAGATCGTGATCAGTTTGACAGGCCTCGCTGACTTGTTTTTGACAAGTAAGTATTCTTGTGCGTATTCATTTCTGCTTGATGTGGTTAGTGGACCTGAAAATAAAATAACAACCTTTTAATATAAGCTGTAAGTGCAAACTAAACATAAAATCAATGTTATGCTGTCTGGTCCATTGGGACCTGCAATGAGGATTACTGCAGAAAATTTTTCCAAGGGAAGAACTCTAAATAGAATGAAAGTCTAAGTTACTGTAACATTTATTGGTAGTAGGTGGAGGTGACAGGCTTCTGCTTGTGAGCTTAAAACTGTTCAATGACGGGGTGTCAATACTGCCATCTCATTGTACAAAAATAATCTAGCCCATGTAGCAGACCATGAGGGATATAACATCTTGTGCCCCATATATCTCATGTACCTGCAATGCATGCTGTTTCAGACCAAGCCCACTTCTCACCTTATGTGTATATAGTCTTTCTGACAGCTTTTTGTGTAGGGAGGACAATTCAGATATGCTGAGTGTAGATTCTACCAAGTCAGATACCTGAAATTTCACATTTCAGTTAGGTCATGCAAGAGAAACTGATGTACAAAATCTAACAGACTTCCCTGCCGCATTCACACATTCATGGGAGAAAATTCAAAACTGGATTACTGATCTTAGGGCCTGATTACAAGGAGGGAGGGTAACCCTTGTGCTAGGGTTACCCTAGCAAGCAGGATAAAGATTACCTCCAGTTTATAAGCAAAATTTGAAAGGTAGGGTTACTCTATCATCTGGGTGAACTTTTCAGGTGAGACTGACAAGGGTGGATTTAGGGGTGGGCAGAGGGGGCCGTAGCCACCCCTTTTTCTTTGAAATTTTGTATTATTATTATAGAATTCTCAGAAAAATAAAAAGTATCTATATAGCTGGCAAGTGAGCAAGTGTCCCGGCCACCGCTTTATGAATTTTCTGGATCTGCCCCCTGACTGACTTGTTTCATCAAGCACGACAATTTAAGAAGACTAAAATAAAAGTTCATTGAAAGGTCAAAGATTTGAATAAAATCTCAAAGATCTCTTTGGAAAACATGTTTAATTGTCACAAAAAAACACTATAAAATTATAATATTATATTATCAATGTATACCTGACAGAAAATACCTTACACTGTTCAGATGTTTAAAATTAAGCTCAAAAATTGGATAACTCCAACATTTATGACAGAGCAATGTTGTCCCACGTAGGTGAGTTATTTTACAAGGCTGGTAGCATAACCCTCTTGCTCGGATAACCTTTGTACTCAGGAAAGGTAAGCATGGTACTAGGGTAACCCTACCTCCCTTGTAAACATGAAGCATAAAAAATTAGGAAATGTGCATGTGTTAGGGTAAACCTCCTGGCAATGAGAACCCTTTTACCTGGGTTACCCTCCCTTCTTACAATTAGAATCTACTACTGTATTTAGATGCCACACACACAAAAACATATATAGATTGGACTCACCAGACAAAATAACCAAGGTTTATTGAAAGAAAGCAATGTAAAAGGACCTCTATGAATACCATTTTTACAAATGATCCGATCACTAGTAGTATAGATCCAACTTGAAGAAGTCACAATTTTTCAAAAATATAGTCTCAGGAAAATGCGAACATTCCTTTCAATTTGGAATATTTAAAAGAAAATAGTATCAGGGGCACCCAACGAGAATATAGTTCAAAACCACTTAAACTAGCATTGTTGAACGCATTCTAGTATTTAAACGGTAGATATATTATAGGCATATTTTTATCCCCTAGAAATTTTTCATCTGTTCGGATTTCCTAGCTGAAAGTCTAGTGATCCGAAATATATAGGGATGAAAACTTACCTTTTCGAAAATTTCAGCCAGAAAAAAGGCTCCCGAAAATTCTAGGTGACCTTTTTAGGGTAAAAATCCATTAAAAATGGGCAATTATACCATTTTTGAGGGGTTCGAAAATCCTAGGAGAGTCAGGCAAGCAAGAAATTTAACAACAAATGTTCCGAAAATTCTAGATCTCAAATCATCTTCCGAACAGATATTTTCCAAAAATCGTCGTTGGGTGCCCCTGTAGTATTACTTTCCGCAGAAAAGTTTACTCTGACATTGCTGTTGCAGAACAAACAAGAAGGATAATAACCATTATGCTCATACATAGTGGTCACAGTTAACAAGCGAACTTACCAATGTGTTGTAAACCTTTATTCTGCTGGCATAATGAACAATCTTTTGCAGGAGTGTTTCATGAGGTGCTATCATGCTTGAAACACACTTGGGAGCCTGTAGATTAAAAGGACTGTGCTAAGATAAAGGAAAAATTCAAGCACAGGAGGTTCACAAAGCCAGAACTAACTAACTACTTCCCAAGGATGAAGGTTACACCAGCATTATGTGCCAATTTAAAAACCTCCTTCCAACCCAAGCCTCGGTGTCAAAGCGAGGGTAAGTGTGAAGAAATCAATAAATAAAGTATTATGATTGATACTAAAAATATTTATTTTTCATATAAATAAAGGAAATATCTGCCTGCAAATAGGATTTTTATGCCTATCCTTCCTACTGTAATTATAATAAATATTAATAGTAAAGTAGTCCCAGTGAACCTAGATGTGGGGTGTAGCGAATTAAGAAAGGTTATACCCCTCTGCACTTAAGAGTCAGTCATATGAGTAGCATCTTTGGGTTTGACTCATTCGTCTGGGTTCAACAGTGAATTAACACATGAATTTTCTGTTCCCTCACCTTTACTGAGCCAGATAATGTATTAAACAGTTTGTTGAAAATACATATTTGAGTAAGAGCGACTATGAGTGCAGGCTCATAGCCATTTTCCTCCAATTGTTGTTGTGTTCTTTTCCTTCCAAGTAAACAGAGGTCACAATAGCTGGCATATGATCTAGCTGTCATTTATCATTATTGGGATGATACAAGGGACTCGTCTAACAAGAAAGAATTAAAACTTGGCCTCGTTTTGAAAGAATGAGGTTTTTCTGGAACTTGAAAAATGGCCAACCAAAATGTCCTGCTTGCCCATTACCCAGTGAAGTATCCCTCATTTCTGGATTCAACTCTTTGCTAATCACTGTGAAAAAGAGTTCACCATTAACATTCCTGGGCACAATTTAATCTTACCTTGGCTGATTCTGAGATAACATCTTTTAAAAAACCAGTTCCCACTGTAAAATATTGGTGATGGACATCTGGAATATCACCTTCATGACCTTCTTCATGGTCTGTTGCAGTTTCCATATTAAAAAGCTCATCTCTTGAAGAACAAGCTACAACCTCTATTGATTCCCTTCTAGAACCTACAAAAATTTTAAATAATCAGAGCTGCTCTTGAAATTAATAATTACCAGTACCTCCTTGGTAGCCAAGATATTAGGGAGCGAAGGTTGTGTTGTAGTGGTTAGAGCACTTGCCCTCCCATAATTGCTGGAGGTTATGCCATTTGTTGGATGAGTTGGTTGTTGGTATTTTATTCGGTCTTGTTCTATGTATGTGGGTATTTTTTTCAGTCTTAGTACATTAGTACGCTTAGTACGGCCATGTTCTATGCATGTTGGTATTTTATTCGGTCTTCGGTCGGTCTTTTATTCCATTTTCATCTGCATGCATGCATGGCTTTCTTCAGCTTTACCACAGAGCACAGCATGTAACAAAGACAGCTGATATTACACTCAGTGACTAAGGGAATAAAACGGGCCCTATCCACACCTACCCTTCTGGAGTAGTAAGTAAAGAGATCAGAATCGAGTATACACAAAATAAACTAACAAAGAACTTACTAAATTCTAAGTATGCTTGTCCGGCATACTAAGTGAAAAAAATTCAAAAGAGTTGCCTAGAATAGGCAGCATATGCTCAGGGGTACACTCACCCATATGATTATATACATATTCACAACACACACAAAAAAGCACAAACGTTATTGGCTACTAGTGATAAATTGTAGTTATGATAAATTTATGTGAGTTCCCCTCATAAATATGTACACATACATATCAGTTTTCATTTCCGATTTAATCTTCATTATGTGCAAGGTATAAGTATGACGGATGTCCACATTACTGATTCCAGAGTAGCACAAGGTATTGATCTCTAGGACCTAGTGTTTGATTATGCGAGAAGATTGACCATACCTTCTGCTTCATCAGCTTGTTCTTCTTTTGGGTTTTTTATGTGATCATTTGAAGAAACATGTACATCATTTCCTTCATTAGTGTTATTTTCCCTTTTTATGGCACTGCTATTTCCTGAAGGCTGATCACCAGCAGTGTTAGTCTCAGAATCAGTTTTCTGGTCGCCAACAGGTCTTTCTTCACAGCTGAGGCTTCTGTCTAATCTGTTCTCCTCATTTTCAGAGAAGGAAAATCTATTTAAGCTGCTTTTGCTTCTTTTACGATGAATCTTACATGAATATCCCAGAAGGCCCAACAGAACCTTCATGATTCCTTGGCTCTGTAAGATACAAAGAAAATTATTAGTAAGTAACATTACACAACCCTTAACCCAGCCTTTAAGATTACCATATATCTTTAGGGGTGTCTCAAGTCCAACATAGCACAATATTATTATAGACATGAAAAAATCAACATCAAACTGGCTAAGCATCCAAGTACTTCTATAAGTGGGTAGAGCATGATCATCTCGGTGAGTGTGTAGTCCTGAATAGGACTGTTGTTGACAGTGACTGATGTTTCGACAACCTGTGCGGCAGTCATCTTCAGAGTCAAAGTGACTTGTACCATGTCAGTTGATGGTATTAACGATATGTAATGAAGAATCCTGGTATGTGTAGAATATATGTTGAATAGAGACTGGTATGTGTAGAATATATGTTGAATATCTTATTTTTTAATCAATCTGATATTTCAAAGCATACAAAATCTCCCTCAAATTCTACATTTCATATCTTAACAACAAGAAAAATAATTCATTCATACATAAGCTTATTGAAATATCATAGAAAGATTTTAAGAAACACAAAAAGAGTGTTAAAACCCCGTTCCAATGAAATTTTTGATTGTCAACACAACCCAATGCTATTTCGTTTATGGAACTTGAAAATACATCATGGTATTGCTTCAACCTTTTTGAGGTCCAAAATGGCTTTCAAAAAACTTTGGGATCAGACTTGCAATTACCAAGGAGTCATACAATTATCACATTCAGAACAGATCATGTAGGACTCCATACTGGTGTCTACCCCGGGACACTTCACGCCAACAAAATAAAAAAAAACATGGCGCCCCCCATTCATCATGTCCAATATCTTATTTTTTAATCAATCTGATATTTCACTGAAATCAAACCCATTGAAAATGGCAAAACACTGATGGGATCAGTGAACAGAACAACACTGACACATGTCAACTCACTAGGCACAGCAAGAAAAATAGGAGAATTAATTTGTTTCAATCAATCAATCTACCTATCTATCTATCAATTTAACAAGTACATGTGAAAATCTTTGGTATCATAGATGCGAAATTGTCTCAACAAAACAGCTTGAAGAGTCATTTGTGAAGCAATCGCGAATATAACTGAATCCTTCTTGAAACTATGTTTTAAAAGCTGCATAATTTTGTAAGAAGAGTCAAATGATATAGGAATTCATTACATGGTGATCTCTTGCCCTAAAGAAACAACATTTGGGGCCTTTTTTGGTTGTATTGCAGGTAATTAGTCACATGATTAAACAAAATGACCTTTTCATGTTTTTCATGACTGGGAAAAATCACTAATATTTTTTACCATCTGAATGTAATGACTACCCAAAAGTAATGGTTTAACCCTAAAGTAGCTGCCCCTTTAGCCTGCTAAATTAGAAAGCAACACGGGCTGTTACATTTCGAATTCTATAGTACAATATTGCTCCAGACCTTTGTGCTTAGCTAGTACCACCATTTTTTACTCACCCAATCCTTGTACGCCTTGTTCAACTGTGGAAATCATCTGAAGAATATGGAGAAGGGTTTCTACAATGTGAAGCTGCTCAGATCTGTGCAATATGAAAAACAAAGGCAAAAATAATTAAACTTTTGTTTAGAAACTTTCACCACTCAACTCTCAACCCCTCCCTCCGCCTAGATCAAATCACGAACTTAAGAGGTTAATACCCCCTAAGTACAATTTATTATCCAGGAGTCTCCTAAATATGACACACATTGCCAGGTCTTTCTTACAGGTGAACAAACCTCTTGCACATTTCACTTTTCAGTTTTACCATTTTCATGATGGCGTTTTTACAGAGCTTTTTTTCGTTTTTCAATTTAAATTTTGTAATCCCAGTGAGGTTTAAAGAACAAAAGACCTAATTTGCCAAGAAAGCAAAACCCTGAAGGATCCTGGTCAATTAATTATTTATTTTGCCACCATGTTTTTGAATTATTTTGCCACCACCCTAAATGTTTAGGAACCTAGTGGTTCCAGGAAAATAGTTAATTTCACGCTCAACATTACATGTATATCCCAAGCGACTGTTTATTTTATTTTCTTTTGTTTCAATTCATTATCGCACCCATTCTCAAACAAAAGAAATAAAATTTCATATTTTGCTGTATATTCCAAGCGACTGTCTATGATGCATCTGTTTATTAAAGCACACATTCTCACAGAAATAAGTTCATATTTTGCTCTACCTCATATGCATCTGTTTCATAGCTTCACAAACAGCAGTCACAAGTGGTAAATCAGCCCAAGTCCTTAACATTTCATCACTTGAATCAAGAACCTTGTCCACCACTTGGGAACAATTGGTCAGGAGATCCACTTTAAAATAAACAGCAGAATTTACATGCAAGTGTAAACCTTAGCGGTAATCAGTGTAAAAAATAGATGTTAACAAATATATATAATTTGTGTTTAAATATTTTTTTTTTTTCAAAAAAATTAATGTTAAAGATGAAAAGTACCACAGTCTGACTGACATTTTTCATGAAACAGATTTGACTAGTATTTACGTACTTCAGTGAAGGTTTTCTTTTTTGACAGTATGTGGTAACATTTTTTTCTTTATTACATGTAACCTCTTATTTCACCTTGACAGCATAAGTGGTTACAACTGACGACCAAAAAGTTTGCCCAATTTGGCCTATACAGTATCAGGTTTTTTGCAAAAAGATATGAACAAATTAAACGTTGAAAAGAACATGTATGTCAGAAATCTACATATAAGCAATAGCTTCTTGCATGCAATTAAAAATAATCTAATAGTGGCAATCAAAGCCATGGAATTGCTGAGAAGCAAATATCTCGAAAAGCAGACCTTATTATTTTATTGTGTTTTTACTATTGCATGGCAAACAAAACACAACGTACGATAAAATAAAAATTACATTTGTTCGTACTTTAGAAATTTATACATCTGAGATATGGCGCATACTGGAAGAGTGGATTTTATTGATGATTGTAGTACACTGGGCTTAAATTTTTACGCTGATGTAGTTAGTCCTTGTATAATAATAAAATAATTTATCATATGTGGCTAAATGAAGCTAAATAAAATTTAGGCTAAGTTAAACTCGAGATATTGCTGGCCAGCTGTCTCTTGTTGGAGATATGCACCCTTCTTGCATTCCAGGGGTTTGTGGGTATTTTAACACCCTGGTCAGGCTACTATGTTTGTGTGTTGTTGCCTGTCGTGGCTAGTGCTGACAGAGTGTTTTTCTGCTCCCTTCCCTCCCCCTGCTTACGGTAAGTATATGGTAAGTATGTTAGGTTCCACTGATTAGCAGTGTGATGGTACCAGGGTGGATGTCACTCTCAGGATTGTCAAGGATCACCCATTGGGATCATTATACTGTTAACTGGAAACTGCCCACCTACCCCTCCCCTGAGCAAAACATTTTGCCCTTGCACTGAGCTGCAGTTTGGGGCTACACCAACCTCACAGGCACCTCCCCCACAAGCTCATCTCTATTGACGAGTTTAATCAGAAATGCTATTTCTATAGCTCCAACAGAGAATGATGAGCATAATCTAAATGACCCTTTAGACATTATAAACAATTTGCCTATTTTACCAGTAACTAAAAAACTCACCATTCAAAGAGTTTTCCAGAATGTACATTAAGTTCTTGAATACTGTTTCAGTTTCTAGCACATCCTTCCATTTCAGTAACACTTCATTGTTACTCAAACACACGTGAATCAGTCTAAAGAATAAGCAGAAAGTTGAGGAATTGTACTATTATTAAAATAATACAAAGGCAAGAAATTCAGCATACAATAAAAAAGGAATTGATCATTTTTATTCTAGATAGTACATAAGTAGAATGTAAGGTTAGGTCAACAGAGAGAAAATTAAACCCTGGTATCACACTTGCCCAATCAGTTCAGGTGCAAAGAGTAGGAAAACTGCAGCTAGCATGTACTAGTCCAAAAGTCATTTGACTAGGCTCAAAAAAGTTTTTGACAGCACGATTGATTACAGTTCTTCTGTAATTTTATTTTGATTTCTCCAAAAAACTTCACTTGCCCACTGGGCAACTTGTTAAGAAAAGAATTCAATAGCCCAATAGCAAAGTCCACTACTCCCAGGCTATCAGACACTACTTTGTCTACTGCAGATTCTTTTCCTAGCCTGAATTTGCAATCCCACACTGTAGTAGCTTATACATTATAGACAGGGAAAAACTTTTGGTGCTAGAATTTGAACTTGCACCTATCCACATATTATCAAGTGTTAAGATGATCCTTTTGAGCAAAGCCAATTCAACCCATCATTTGAAAATGAAACAGTTCCCACACAAATTGAAATACAAATAAAGGTAACAAAAAATCCTGTGAAGTTATCAGTGAAAACATTTTTAATGAAAAAATTAAAGCAGAAGAGAATGTGAGTTTCCAGTATCTCCTTCCTTCATAGCTAACTCTTGTGTTTACATTGTTCCTATGACAACCCATCCAGGTTAACTTTGCATATTCCTGAATTGGATTGGAATAACCAAAAGGTTGAGGTCTACAGAGCAACTATTATCTCATACCCGGATCTCTTATTGCTGAACCCGAAGGTGAGATCTGGTCAAGTAAGAAAATTCAATTTTTCTGATTGGCTAGATTGTGAGCAAATGATGTGAGTGTTGTCTCCTGCATGCGCTATGGTGTGTGCAATTCATTCTTTACAAAGTCTTCAGTTCTGTTGAAATAAAATATTTTCACTGAAGAAGTAGTTTTTTTAACTCAATATAACTTGTAAAACCATTTTTATCTTATCTTTAACCCATTCGCCCCTGAACCGCCCGTAACCGCCCGTGCGGATCCAGGTCCTTTCTATATCAGTTTTAACGGTCAAGGACAACTTTCTTTGCTAACTTGTGCAGCTTTCAAACCATACCAGAATATACTATGGAAAAATTAAAGGACCTGAAAATCATTTGTTCCATTACCCACCTTCCTTTCCTTTCACCTAATCCTAAGATCCTAAAAGCTTTCCTAAAAACTCTTCCCACCAAAATGAAGCCTACTAAATGCCCAGCAAGAGAAAAAAGCAAAAAAAAGAAGGGAGGAGAGAAAGCGAAAAGTAAAAAGTCAAGACTGCTGTGTCACTTTTAAACCCAAAAACTCGAAATTTTGCTTTCTGCGGGGAACTTCGAAGCGATATTTTGCATCTGGATCAAAGGCGGCAAGTGAACCTGTAAACCGTTTTGTGGTAAGTTTTAATATACGACAGTGACCAGAAAACCACTCGACTAGCTTCAAAACGCGTTTTTGGGAAAAATCTCCAGGAGCGAATGGGTTAAAGACATTTTAAAACTCTCTCAGTATCAATATAGACTTTTGAAAAGGGTAAAAAAATTCTCGCATAGAAGTTGACGCATACTGCTTTGAGGTCTCAGCGTGCTATGATAATTAAATTTAAATTCACTGCCGTGTTGAGTAAGTTGCTGTTACAAAGAACAACAACAACAAATTAGTTGGTTCACACTCAAGATGCACGTATAACCACGATTTGGTAAAAAAAAACTTTACAGCTCTATCAAATTGAGGATTTATTTTAAGCACGAGCTCTTGCATCACCTGTCACATTCCTGACAGGCAATCATGTGTACAAATCAGATTTGACCAGATCTCTCCTTAGGCCTCGTTAATAAGAGATCTGGGTAATGACTCACTCATGGAGACTAGATTCAAACTGCTGACCTTAAGGTCTTAGGTCTAACATGCTTACTGTACATTGATAGGTAATAACATTACCTGGTCACCTCTACCAAAACAGGTGCATCAGGTTCATCTAATAATGCTGCTACAAGGTTCCTGAAAAATAATGATAACAAAAACCATTTTTAAACAAACCATGTTACCATTTTTCTTGTATTCCTTAGTTGTACTGTGTTTAGATGCCTACGTAATTTAACCTTTATGTCATGTAAAACTGAGCTGAGTTTAATAAATCATCTTGTCTTGTCTTGTCTTGCAACTAACTGACAAGAGTAAGGTGCATTCAATTCAAATACACTGTAGGTGGAATTGAATTTTTCAAAGCTTTTGAACCTACCCTAAATTATTATCTACAAATCCGGACCATGCAGCTAGAGTAAATAAAACAGTACACCCCGTATATTACATATATGTAATATCTAGATGCCATCATGTTATTTAATTTCAAAATCTTACACAAGCTCTTTGTTTCTCATCATCTTTGTGCAAACTTCATGGGAGCATGCCATATTTGCCAGAATGCCAACACAAATTTCCTATGTGTAACAAGGGAAAGATCAGTAAGATAAGTCTTAGTTTTTAACATAATAATGTTAACTTAAATATGCAATAGAATACACTATAGTGATCTGTATTGTCTTTCTTTCCTTTTGATCCCATTCAGGATTGACGAAACCCCTGGCTACTTAAACAGAGTACACTTTTGCTATAGCATCAACACCGGGTGTGGTGAATGTACAATAAAACTTTGCTGAGATGCCGAGACCCTTGCTTTAAAATGCAAAGCAAAATGAGGCCAATATCCAGTCATCTTGAATGAATAAGCTTTATCAGTAAAAGGATTTATTATGTGGCCAAAAAAAGAACTTTTTTTTCCAACCCAAGCAAGAAATCTTGAGTGGGCAAGGTACAACCTGTACATGCAGACCCATCTTGCCTGCTGGGATAGCCAGTCAGAACAGAGGATTCACTATATTATCTTGCCCATTTAAGGATTCAGCCACAGAACAATATCAGGGGTTACGGTATATGTTAGGATAAACCAGAGATGTCAACCTCTGGAGATGTACATATGTAAAATCTGGGACTCTCTCTTTTGTATTACCCCCATCTCCCTCACCAAACATCAATGGCCAACACCCCTCCGCTCACCACCACCACCACTATAACCACTGGATAAACTCATATCAACCCAGTCCCCAAATAATCTACGTCTACATCTACATCTACAGATACATCTACATTTAGTAGTCAACAGAAACTATGTACAGTTATCATGCTAATGTTAAATTAAGAAGAAAAAGATTTAAAATTTTGCAACAAAAAAAATAAATAAAATAAAATGAAGTAAAAATGAATAATAAATAAATAAATAAAAATAAATAAGTAATAAATTATATGTGTACGGTTCAGGACTTGTGGACATCTACACTCACAGTCACTCTTGCACTCTGAGACCTCAAGACAGCATCTAGGAGAACCTCAGTGGTTTCCATTTCCTCCAGAAAGGTAGCAACATCCTGTGGTTTACATGTATAACAAAAGGCAATGTCCTTTCTTATTATAATATTTTCAAAATATTTGGTACAATTGTATAAACAATATTCCTAACAATTTTTTAATGTCATTCCTCAAGGTGTAAGAAAGTCAGTTTTACAGAGTGATATTTGGGCAAGCTGTAGCGTAGCATGCACTAGTCCAGATGTCATTTCAACTAGCCCAAAAAACTTTTTGACGAGCAGGATTGATTACACAGTTTTTCTGTAATTTGAATTCCTCAAAAAACTTTACTTGCCCTTTGGGCAAGTCAAGCACAATATTCACTAGCCCCGGGCTATTAGATACTACTTTCTTTGCACGCTGTACATTCATTCATTCATACCTGGGCACAGGACCTTCCATTTTTACGCCAATCTCCCCTGATGGATGAGCATCTTTGGCAGATAACAAAAGGAATTTGTTTTGTTTTTAAAGGGACCAAAAAAAGAGGGGGGTAGGAGAAGTTTTCTCAAAGGGTTCTGACAAAAGAGTGGGGTGGTGGGAATCTGCTCATCCAGGGTGGGGGGGTTCGGAAAAAAAAATCGAACGTCCCCACCCAAGCTGGAATGGTCAGGCTCCCTTAAGTTTTCTTTAGAGCATAGCCTTGCGTAGTTCCCACAAAAAACTGCTACATGGATGCCAAATGACTCTATATCCACCCATCTTTAGGAGTTTCTTCAAAGTGGCAGGGTATTCTGTAGTTTAGCCCATCTACTCGTTCATACATACGCGCACGATACGAGTATACACGACATGTCACGCATTCCCGAATCAATATATACAGCTCTGAAAAGATCGACAGAAATTCGAAGAGTTTTTCAATTTACAAATCAAGTAACTCACCGCATTCATGGACATGTCCCAGAGTTCACACAACTCTCTTTCAAAATCATCGTCTAGGTCGTGTGAATGAAAATCTTCAACTTCGCGCGCTGATTGTTGTTGTTCGCGCTGTTGTTCGTCATTCGCAAAATCATCCTGCGATCCCTCGGCGTTAGTCTGGACGGACTGTATCAACTTCATTAGCGTAGCTAGTACCCATTTCTTGCTAAATACCGTATCACCTATATTGTCGCATTGTATTAACTCGATTTCTTCGGCAGATAAGCGCGGTGGAGAAGGATTTCTATCGTCCATTTCTCTGAGTCGTTTTCTCGGAACCGTTCGGAACTTGTCGGAACCCATCGACTGTTCGTCGAGAAAGTTGGGTCCAGTCCCAATGACTGGTCTCAATGAAAAAGAAAAGATGGCGGACGGCGTTACAGAAAGTGGCTTTTTGAAACGAAAAATAGAGGAAAATAACACTCCGGACACAAAAGATAAAGATGTAAGCTCACCACCAGCTAAGGTGCGAGCCATAGGGGAGAATACAAGTGATCCAGCTACTTCCAAAGCGAATGTTCTTGATGTGACGCCTAGCACTAGTGCTGCCAGTCAAAACACTGTTACAGAAAGCAATAGTGAAACGTCTGAAGAACGAGAGAAAATGCAGTAAGTAATCGATTTATCGCTGTCTAAGTCGACCAGTGAGTGTCAGTTACATTACAGTGGTAGAGTAGCAGTGTCCATGCTTTGCAGAAAACCTTCTCTCTTGTTTTCTGCGAAGCATGGACACAGCTAATCCAGGGATATCCAATCGATGACAATTGATATCAATCAATACCAATTGATATCAATTAATCGATTGATATTGACAATCGATGGCGAAGATTTATGTGGTTATCGATTGGTATCGTTTTCAATAACAATCGATAGATAAATTGATATCGATTGGTATTATTGGTTGCAGATTGACGGAATCGACGCATAAATATCACATCTTTGTACGTCATTATTGCAAACACATTTCATTTTAATGCTTTGAAAGTTAACAGGCAAACTATACTTTCTTCTTTCTTTTCAACGCCCTGTCCACAGGTATCCTTCTTCCTTCGACGACTCAAAACTTTGTTCCTGCTCTTGCGATTTACGGTCATTTCGTTCCATAGTCAGATCCCCACCCAATAGTCATGTATTCCCACATGAAAAAAGTCATTAAATTTTTCAAAAAGTTTCTCTCGCTGTTTAATCTAAAACCACTTTACATCGTGGTAACGTTTGAAAAATCGTTTCCGAAAACATAAGTTAACATCGTCGGGCGCTCGCAACATTATGTAAATAGTTCTGAAAATACTTTCATCCATATTCCTATCGCTAGTCTGTACTCTGATAACATGTACACATTTAGGAAATAGATATAACGTATGTGGAACGAACTGACTTTTTTGTGGAACGAACTGACTATATTGTGGAACAATCTGACTATTGATTGGAACAATCTGACTTGGAACGATCTGACCATGGAACGAAATGACCGGATACCGCTCTTGCCTCCCACCCACATGTATTCCATGAAAACGTTAACCAAAAACAGAAACGTTTGAAGTTTGAAAACGTTATCTAAAGTGGAAAACTATTTAGTATGTGCGGATATGGGCCAATACTAAAGCCTCTTCCTGAACTTCTTGGGTAGACATAATTGATTTCCATCGATTGGATACCCCAGGTGCTAGTCTACTCACACTCACACACTTTATTAACAAATATTAACATTTACATGAAGTCCATTTCCGCCCGCAAATAGCAGGTGCTATTTGAGGTGGGCAGAGATACAGGGGTACAGTAGTCAGTGATAAATAACAAATAAATAAAGAAATTCATAATTAAGTAAATACTGTAAAGCTTAAATGTAAATAAATAACATAAAATAAACCACTTGTAGCAGTTATGGGTAAGTATAACTGCGAAACTAAATTGAGCTACTACTCTAATCTAGCTGACAATATGAAGGAGGAAAGGACAATAATCAGAGAGAAAGAAAAGAGAGAACACCCTCTTTTTATGAGGTTTTACAAGAATATTGAGGGTGAAGGACCAAATTTTCAAGAATATGTTAAGAAGAAACCCATAACTGAGGCCAAGTAATGAAGTGCTCCCTGTGGTATTCCACTTGGATGGGAAAAAGTGAGCAGGGATTATGCACCAGTCAATGTTTAGCCCCAGGGGAGGAGGGTAGGGCATTCCCCAGGTATTTGACTCAATCTCTTCTCCCTTGGGTGGAAAATCGAAGGTGATTTGACAAAACTCAAGATCCCAAGGGTGGGGATGTTTGACAAGGTTGCTCAAGAGCCTGGAACCCTAAGCTCTAGACCCACCATATTGAAATTAGCCAGAAAAACCTGCCTGGATTTTTATAAAGCTTTGAGTTCACCTATCATTCACCTGTTTCCTTAGATTTCTGGAAATTTTGATGTAGAAAGTATGGGAGGTGAAAAGACTTAAAAGAGTCTGTGGTCGTCTATAAAACATGGATCTAATAAATTCTGTTGTGTCTAGTGAAGCAACTTTAATTCTTTTGATTGAGTGCAGAAGTGCAAGGGTTGGCACCTTCAGTGCTGTGTTGGCTTTAATTTAATACTGATGACTCAGGCTGAAGTGCCCTCTCTTTGTTGCAGAGGATCTCAGTGTAGCTGAGGGAGAAAAGTTTATTTTATGGCAAGGATGAATGCATTGCAAATTATTTAAGGGGCTTGAACATTATAAAATCATACATTTACCCCCAGGGAAGGGGTATTTGACAACAGCAATAAATTATTGGCCCTTAGGCGGGGAATTTTACTTGAAAATAGAGTAAAATGACAAATCCCCCTGGGTATGCCTGACCCCCCTACCCTGAGGCTAGACATTGACTGGTGCATTAAACAAATCCAGATATACACTGATTGAACCAAACATGCTTTTGATGGTTGTCAACTAATTCTCCTAATCTACTGTGTGTGCCCTAAAAGCAAGTGTTGTGCCAATGCACTACACTTCCCATCTTGGATAATAAAAAACAAATTGCAGAAGGTGGGGGAAAAAGTAAAGAAGGATTACAATGTACATAAGGGTATCAGGTCAGGAACAGTGAAGAAAAACTCTGTTGTCTGTTCACTCACAGAGGTACTGATGACATGGATCCAGCTGGGTCATCTTGCTGGGCTGGCTGGCTTTGCAAAGATCATGTCATGTTTATTAAATGCAACAAACATCAATTTTGTGATTACATGACAATACAACCCAATATAGTTTGATTATTAGTTGTTATGCCGATATCAAGATGGCATTGTACTTGGATAAAGTTACCTAGGCAAAGCAAGCCAGGCTGGCTCATATAATTTAAACACCATTCTTAACTGTCAGTCATTTTCCTTGCAAGATTATTAATTTTTTGTTATTTGTGAAGTTCACTATGTTCTATTGTGCTTGACTGGTGTTGGATATTTCCTGCAGGTTGCTTGTGTCTTCATTCTCAGAGGAGCAGCTGAATCGTTATGAAATGTACAGGAGAGCAGCTTTTCCCAAGGCAGCAATAAAAAGGGTAACTGACTATAGACTGGTCATACCTTAAGTTTGATAAGTACACATGTCACTGCGATTGTGCTCAATTACCACTCATCAGAGAAACAATGTGCAAAGCAGAGCCTGAGGGTACAGTGTATGTCAGTGCTTCCTCAAACAACCTCCTCAAGCACTAGTCTTATGGTACATTTTAACCGAGGTCTGCAGCTCGGCCATATTCTGTGTATTGCTCCAACCAATATGATATCATCACTGACAAGATTTCCATCATGTTCCAAATTTTAAAATTTGTTGGGATTGTGTTCGGTATGATGCATTGTTTCACCGTTTAGAGAAACAATTTCTGCTTTTTTGTTTTTCAGCTCATGCAAAGTGTAACAGGTGGGACCTCCATTCCCCCTAATGTTGTTATAGCCATGGCGGGAATAGCAAAAGTCTTTGTCGGTGAAGTTGTTGAGGAAGGTTTGTGTATGTTTTCTGCAAATTTCAACTTTCCATGTGTCGCAGCATTCAAAACAGATGATATTAAAATGAGGTAATATAGTGCAGCAAGAAAGTGGCCAACAAACTTCAGGCAAAGTAATCATGAATGTTTTAAGATGTTGTTTGTGATCTGTAATCATTTATTGAACAGGCACATGGTAAAATGAAATCTGCTTATTTGGTCCTCAAGTATGTGTCAAGATTGTTTGGGTACAATCAGGATAAAATCAGGATGTTGAAAATGACTTTGTTGTACTGTTTTTAAGTGAGAAATCTAAACTACAAAGTAACAAAACAAAGTCTTTTCTTAAATGATTCATGATATTACACCACACAAAATGGATAATTCCTCAGCAGTGTAAATCACTTTTTAATACAAACCGAGGTAAACTTGCTTTAATTCAGGGCCATGGTTTCTCAAGTTAACCCACAGACTCAGGGCAGACAGTTTGAATCTTCTACAGTTTTGCTCATTCATGCATGTACCTTTCCTGTAATTCCTATGTGAGTTTTTTCTTTCATCTGTAAACAATAATTTTCAATTGGTATTTCATTCATTTCTTGGCCAAATAAGTGCTGACATTGTCTTCATGTTTAATGAAATAAAACCTTATTTTTTAAGACATTTACCAAATGGTAAATGCAGTTAATGGAACATGACGCCACAGAGGGATAGCCTGAGGAAGTCTGCCCTGATGTCTGCTCGGTTGTAACTTGAAAGCCTTATTCATTAAATGAAAGCACTCTTTTCTTTAAGCCGTAAACAAAAGCTGTTCATGGCTGGAACCTTACCAATTTGTTAAATGTTTGTCATTGTATATATTTTAGCATTGTATAGTTTGGCTCCTGTTTTCTAGGCCCTATTCTTGGGTAGACTTTCATCATGATTAGACTAGGTAGCCTATGGTACAACTGTATCTATTAATCGAGGAATTGTGTTGTGTTATGTATCAATAAAAAGTCTGGGGGCTCTCTCCTCTCGGTTAAGTCTGTGTTGCGATTTCCCCCAAGCTTTTAGCATTGCTTGTGTCTTGCCATCTCATTCCTTTGGCTGACCCCACATTAGTGGGGCCATAAGTGAGGCTTGTGTTATTTTGTGTGCATAACCTGAAGTCGCTTTAACCGGCCACAGGGCTGTGTCCCCCCTTTATAAGGCCCTCTTGTAGTTGTTGTCTTATTTTAGCCTGCATGCTTTATTTAGTTGTTAAGCAGAATAGTGACATTAAGTTGTGATTTTGTTGGTAAACAGCTTGTGACACTATGGAGCAATGTAAAGAGAAAGGACCCATCCAGCCAAAACATCTTAGAGAAGCTGTGAGAAAGCTAAAAAGAAAAGGCCTTGTTCCAAACACTAGATATCAGAAACGACTCTTTCATAGGTAAGACATGGATAACGCCGTGAGCTTTCATTTTGTAGAGCGTGTATGCTTTTGATACCACAAATTCTATCAAATTCTCTCAACTTATCCTTCAAGAAAAAGTATGGAGATCCGTATGGAGAATTTGTAAGCGGATATATGGGAATGAAAGGGTTAAAACTATAAAGCCTTGTTGGCACCTGTCCCTATGTCCATTCTTTGTTTCTGAACCCAAGAAGATTGCCAAAAGAACAGTCTAACTTGCATTTACTTTTAAAAAAATCACCTTCATCTATCTCCTTGGGCGTCGTGGCACATAAGGCCTCCATACAGTGTTTCCATTTTTCTTATTCGCACATTCCAGTTTCCGATCTTTATGATGTTTTTGTGGTTCTCCAGCGGCCTATTCAGCTCGTTGGTATCCTGTTGGGCCCCCGTGCGTCTTAGAGTCACGCCTTATTGTGAGGAATGGTCACAGTGTTTCCTTGATCCAAGTGAATTTCCTCTGCCTCTGGTTTCTGTAATAATAGGGTTTAATGGGAGAAGGTTATCAGCCCTCAGCCCAACTACCAACCTGGTGTCAATTTTATAAAACTTTTTCAAGTGTAAACATTGTTTTAGAGTCTGAAAGCAATAGCTACACTTATAAATGGCACTTGTAAAAGCTTTATTAAATTGAGCCCTGGAGGACCAGGCGACAACACTTACTTTGGTCTCAACCCTTCGACCTTTTTGGCGTGAGTTGCTCTACCAGGAGTCAAAGACTCCAGCCGACATAGCTCTATAAGTCATTGACCGCTGAAAAAGAACCTACCCAGACTGTCTTGGTGATATGCTGTATCCCTTGTCCACATCTAATAGCTTTACGGTCATTTCGCCCCGGTTACTTAGCCCCCAAAGTAACCTTAAACATCGCTTAAAGAACGAGATATATTACGTACTTAAATGACTCGAAAACCGGGGCGAAAAACTTGGGGCGAAATGACCGGTTACTATCTAATATGGTTCTATTTCACCAGGTAAACTGTATCAGAAAACAGGGCGGTCCACGTCGGTGGTAACATCTCCGCTTACAAGGAGCTACAACTGGAGTCAGTGAAAGGTACCCACTCCGCGAAAAGGGATTGTTAGGGTCGGCGGATGGATAAAAAAGACAAGGGACACTCTTAGCCTCTTGAGCAAGGAAGTAACTGTTCTTGATCACGAGGGACGAGATTTACAGTGTATATGACAGAACTTCTTTAAGGAAGCGACTGGGTTCCTTTTCAAGACATTGCATGCATACGACTTCCACTGTATCTTACGTGTAAAATGAACGGGCTTAAAAAAATAGGCAACGGCGACTCGCCTAACTTGAAAAGAACTCACCACTTCTTTATAAGAGGGATTAGCGATGGTTTAGAATGGAGGAGGTTAACGTGGATTACAAACAACAAACGTGAAAAGTTCACACTAAAGGTTTCAAACCGCACAAACCGTGTTGTTTAAATTACTGCGATTGGTCAAAGTGTCTCTACCAATGAGCGATTGCACTTTCAGAGTTAGTTTGTTTGTTTTTAATGAAACGCAAAAATTTGGTTTTATCAATTCAGCTACTACCTTCAGCTGCATCTTTAAGAGCTCTAGCATGCGTACCTGGCAGATTGTTTCGCGATCGGGACAAAAAAGCTGCGAAAACGCGCGCGAAGCGGCGTCGCCGCTCTTTCGCGTGCGTTTTCCCAATTTTCTGTCTCGCTAAACAAACCGATACCGCTACCAACGAGGGGCTAGCGTGTGAACCGTCACTTTTCAATCTTTTTACGGTGGTAAATTTTATTTGTCATCTTAGTTGATTAAACAATTTTTTTGTTTCACTTCCCACCAACACAGTTCCTCATTATATTAATAATATTTTCTTTCAAACCTTACCCTATTATCCATGTGATGTTTGAAGTAAGTTATTCGGTGTTTTTTTTTTGAAGTGACGGACTGTTTCTTGGTCATTGACACAGTTGCCGGGAAAGGTGACGTGTCAACTGATTTATGTATTTGTGTTTTTTGTAAATAAGTTAACAAAGAAAAATCGCGCTATCATCACTACTGCTCGTCGAATCATCACAGTTTTTGAAGATTCTCTGTCAAGAAAAAGAGAGAAAGTCACAACAAGTTTTCTTGCTAATTTCCCCCTCCGTGTTTCGGTTGCGCGACACTTCACACAATTTTTTACACCGAAGAGAAGGTTTTTTTTAATACTAACAAACTCAACGTGATCCTAACTTTAAAATCGTGCCTTTCATGAGCCCAATCCTCACAGAATATTTCATCCACTCGGAGCAGTGGAAACCAGAGTTAGACGATTTCCCCTTTTTATAGGGTTTTTCAAACCTTAGGAATTGAGCAGCAAAATCTTACTACATGTATTTTTCAAAACTTAAACGTGTATTTGTCTGGTCGCCCAGACAATAGCCTAGAACGAATTTCTAATTTCACTATTTGTTTAAAACGTTTTACACGCCGAAGCGAGTGACGCATTTTTTATGAAAAAAAACAAGGAAGGGTTAGGAATAGATAAATAGGTCTTCATTAAACATTTCCTTCAGGATACGAGCAATCAAAATTTTTTGCGTTCGAATTTCAAACTCGATTCATTGTTTTCAATACTTCAATTAGCAGTGATTAGTAGTCATAAAGCGTTTCTACCTTCAGGTCATGTGACACCCAATAATATTACACGTTGTCTCACAAATTTTGTCATCATGTTTACGCGACCTTAAAAGGCAGGAGTAATAAAATGTGTATATTGATAATAAAGTGAAATGGTTGTGTATTTGTTGTAGCTTTGGGGGTGTATATGTGATTAAAAGACTTTCACGACGGGTGAATCACCTTGGCCTTTTGACGAACAAGGTTTCGTAGCTGTCTGTCGCTACTTGTAACTGCAAATGGTGGATGAGAAATTTAAACAAGCGCGTAAATCATGTTTGTTTAGACGACTACTTTGCATATGTTTTGTCTGAGACGGATTAGCGTACGTTTGCCACTTTGCCGGACGCTTAAAAAAACACGCACATTCATACACGTACGTGGGGAATTTCTTTTGTGTGTAGACACTTGCCGTTTCAGCTTGTTTAAGTGATAAAAAAGAAAAGATCTGTACAAGGTAAGGGTTACACTAAATAGTATGGGCTGATGTAGGAAAATCGTCCCAGACGTTAAATTTATATTAGTAGTAAGTACCCCAGAGAGCACGTGTTCTCTTAACAATTTCCATATTTTTCCCTCTAGGTTGATTTCATGCGAGCACTTATTTGCTTTGCGTTGTTTTCCTGTTCCTTTCCGTATATGTCCTGTCAGTAATAGTGCTCGCATTGTAGGTGGCCCGTCTTAAAATATTCCCTAATTAGTAAAGGATTTAATGAAGCCGTAACCGATTCTGGAATTACATGCATTTCATAACTATCGTACTGGTGAATGGTTACTTCGGTTGGATATTTGCACCGGCGAGCAACAATCGTCATTAGGCCGTCCTCTTTAAATACCTATTCTAACAGAAAGAAAAGAAATGAGGAAAATAAATTTAAAGAATATTTCCCGATACTTCTT